CCTGATTTCTCTCCTGCTGGCCATGCTTTTGTCTCTTGGCCCAGCCAAAACCAAGCCCCTTTTACTATAACGTTCCCTTTAGCCTTGAAGTGGGCAGACCCCTCTAGACTCTCCTCCCCAACCCTATTGCTCATAATACCGTTTTCTGCGAACTGACCAGAGAGAGTCCCCTTCTCGCTATTGATCTGGAGAAACTGTGTGCAAACCAGAGCTCCAGAATGGAAGAGATAAAGAAGTGAGACACGTCTAGAAACTCAAAGGATCTCTGTGACCTCAAAGAACCAAACTTACTTCTCTGAAAGAGTTTTGTAAAAGAATAAAAATTAAAAGAAAAAAAAAGAAAACCTTATTAATGTTTGCTGGAGAAACAGGAAAGCTTTTTCCACAAGAAAAGTGCTTTCTGTACTAAAACTGGCAGCCAGACGGCCGGAGCATTTATCTCCTGCATAGAAAGTGCTCTGTCAGGCGAGCTGTGACTAACAATAAGCTGAAAAACAAGCCACAGACTTCCACTGTATTTTATTTGGCACAGAGGAATTATTCCTCAGCACAAAGTATTTGCAACTGGCATCGGTTAAACAAGAAATTACAACCTTTAAAAGCCCTATTTATCATTAGCTGCAAAAGTGCAGACTTCACCGTCAATTACTCTGACAAAGGATTACAGACCATCAACACGGCACACAGGATAACAGCAGCCTTGGCGGCCAGCCGGCCTCTCTGAAGGGAGGATTAGAAAGTTAACAACCTGGAGACCCTTCTCCAGAGACACCCTCCCCCCATCCTTCTTTGCCCACCCTCTTCCCCTTTGCAGGCTGACTCTCGCATCTCTCCTTCTCTCTCTCCCTTCACCTCGGCTAGCAGAGGCTGGTAGACCAGCAAGCTTTCAGCAGCAAGATGTGATGGCTGTGAAAGTTATTGCTGAAGAACTACTGGCCAAATCAAGTCAGCTACAACTTTGCTCCAATTCTGCTCTGAATGTGTTCTGTTGATTAAAAAAAAAAAATGGAAAGTACAAGATTGATTTCTGAAAGCTAAAGGCATACTATGGTGTTGTTGCTCTCAGCTGCTTCATTTAGAGGCTAAATGGTCAGAAAAACAGTGATGTTTAATAAGCAAAAGGCCTCTACTGTAATTCTAAAATGCACTCCCAAACCCTGAATGGTGCCTATGTATTCTGGAAGAAGGCTTTTTGCATTTTACTGAGGCCTTAACCCATCTTTAAATGATTTCATTCCTTAAGGACAGAAAAACAAAGAGAAGCTCTGTTTTCCAGGTATCAAAATAGAATTAAAATATTATTTTTAAAGTGCTTATATAAGTGGTAATATATATCAAGGAAAAAAATATATATATATGGCTCCTTATTTAGTTTTAACTTTCCAAGGAAGCATGAAGTCATTATCAGTGTTACTGTCACCTCATTGCCAGTTAAATTAGTTTAAATGGTCCTGGAGTTTCTCTCAGAGGTTTACAGATTCATATTCGTCTCTTCAACATTTTGGTTTCATTGGCTATAGTTGTCTCAGCATAAAAACATCTTTCAGGAGAATGAAGTAAAGTAACATAACTGTGTGTTAACCACTTGTATGTGATTTGGCACGTAGTGCTCAATAAATGGTGGCACACTGGCTCTAATGTTGGTAAAGATGAGGAAGGGATGTGTGTTATTACAAGTTCTGTTTTATGAAGGATTTTTTATGATATGGAAAAAGTACTTGTGAATATAGATGGATATATACATATACAAATGCAAGTTACATGTATGGTATATTCTTAACTATTATATATAAAGCGATATTCAGCGAAAACAAAACAAACAAACAAAAATCCCAGAAGGAGATAAATCCAAATGTTAAGAGCATTTGTCTCTGAGTGATGAAAAATAACGGATATTGGTTTTTCTAGACTCATCTCTAATTTTCTATGATGAGCTTGTCTTCCATTATTATGAGGGGAAAAAAATTTTGAAAAGTACAGGCAAGAAAAAAGTATTAGAACTAAGATATTATACTTATCAGGTGCTTGTGAATGTATCAGCTTTTTTATATCCAATATGATAGCCCATCCAGGGAGACAAATGTTCCCATTTTTTCGAGTAAAGTCACTGAGGTTCAGAGAGAGTGGGGATTGGAGCGGAAACCACGAGGCCCCCAATCTCTCCAGACATGGCTGTGTCCCTTCCCATTTGGTCTGCTGGGTTCATAAAAACTCTCACAGGGCCATCGCTTGTGGGTGACCTCCTGCAAAAATTACAGGAGGTTGGATAGCTTTATTTAGCCCGATTAGGTTCAAAGACTATGCCAGGGAGCTTCTCAGTCCAAAAATAATCTCTTTTTATTGGTTCTCTAAATTAACTCCTGCAGGAGTGAGCTGAGCTAAATTAAAGCTTTCATACAGCCAGGCCCAGGGATTTTTACTGAGTGGTAAACGTTTTCTCTCTCTGTGAGAACTTTACTGTTTCCTTCCTCTAAGAGAGGCTATACTTAGACGCAAAGAAAGCTGCTCAAAGCAGATCTTCCAGAATTCATTTTATTTGACAAAGACTCTTAGTTCAAGCCCCTGGTGTGGAACATTTAAAACTTTTATAGGTTTTCCTAGCTTTTAAAGTAATTTGCATTTAAGGAAAGAGATACTAATCTCTCACACAAATGGCAAAAATGCATTCCTTGCCCTTTTTTAACTGGAAAAATTGAATTTGTAGAGTCATCAGGTGAGGTAATCTTACTTATAAAGGATTCTAAGAGCTGGACAAATCTTAGCCAGCCTCTGTACTACCGGCTGCACCGAAAGGCGTCTTTTCATAACTATTGCAACTGCAGAACGTTCTTCTCTCCGAACCGCACGCTAGGGAGTAGGCAATTTGAGACAGAAAATATGAATTTGACGTTCAGGGTTGCCTCTTTTTCTCTAATACAGACATGTCACTGCTGGTCATAGTTAATGATGCATTCACGAGCATTTCTGCAGAGTGGGAACGACTCCCACTGAGTTTTCAAACAGCCACAGGCAAGCGTGTCCCACTGCCCCATGGCTCTGGCCCTGTTCATGTGTCATTCTCTCCTTTGCTCCTGCCTACCTGGCACCTTGAATGAGTGACAGTGCAGGTGTGAGGTGTCGGTATCCCACCCCCTCCCCACCCCCCCATCTCTCTTTCATACTGGATTTTGGACGTGCACACCATTTCAGAGAGAGGAAACTCAAAGAGGCAGGCATGTCTGTGTTTTATTCCTTTGCACTGAATACCTAGAAGGTCCCAGAAAAATCATCCTAAGTTGCCCTAAGCCTGTGCTACAACTTCAACTGAGGTTCCAGCAAAGATCTTAGAGAATAGGACCAAAAAAAGGTATACTCAGAAAAAGAAGTAAAAAGAGAAGACAGAGTCAGGATAGTTGGAGGAGGCGGGGGGGAGGGGGAGATTCAATTTCAAACCTCTTCTAGGTGTCTTGTTGACTGGAGAAGTGAGTTGGAACTTATCAGCAGAGATTTGAACTAACAGGAAATACAAGCAACGTGGAATTGGTCTGTCCAAGGGAAAAGAACTCAAGCACAGCTGGCGGAGAAAGGTTCTTGGTCCTGACTCTAAAGAAGAAAATACTCGCCACCATCTAACTGTGGCTGAGGACCTCATGTGTGCACGCAGTTAGACTTCTCTACCAAGGACACTCACTCCTTCCGCCAAGCGTACGAGGACAGATGACACTAGTATCAAATATGTTACATAAAGGTTTTGCTAAGAAAAAAAAAATGTGGGGGTGGGCAGAACAATTGATTGTTTAGGTATGTAATATTTACATAGCATCGTATTGTGAATGGTGACACCCATAATGCAGCTGTGGGAAAGCCACGGATGGAAGGTTATTGGGCATTAGACAGGAGTTCAAGTTCCAGTCACAGTTCAGCAACAAGCTAGCTGATCTTGATCGTATGCAAATTACCTGAGTTTCCTCATTTTGCAAATAAGGGGTTTGGAAGGACGCCCTCTATAGCCTCCTTCCAGCTCTGATAGTCCATTGGGTACAGTTATTGCATTTAGCTGTTCTAATATCAGAGTGGGTAAATCAGACCTCCAAAGGCATCCCAGCTGATGAACTTTGACCCTTCCATTGAAAGTTCTTACAACTACATACAAGGTCAGAGCGTCTAGGCTTCTCTCTCAATGCACTGGATTGTTGGGTTCTGCCAGTTTTCTGATTTTTTTGTAGGAAGAGGCTGAATGACAAGTTTAGAGAATGGACACCTATACCCACCTCTTAGTTCCTGCACCCATTGTTATCCTAACAACAACAAAATCCTTAGATGTTATCATACTTTTAATTTTTATCTATAGGAACACTTCAAGCACAGCTGTTCCTCATTAGACTCCAGTGGCCGAAAGCATTTGGTTACTACAGGAAAAGGGGAAAAAAAAATCAGTAAAGTTTTATTTACAATCTGCTTTCATTGTGAAATAGTAGAAGTCCCTGAATTAATAAAAAGATGTGCTTGGTACTAAAAGCATAAATACGCTTTCTTAAAACAGTGGTAAATGTTGTGGGCACACTTCCCAGATTTCCAGTCCTATTCTAGTTCTCTCTCCTTTTCCCCGTAAGTGCATGCTCACTCTTGTTAGCACGTGACTGGCTTTTGAATAAGAAAATACGGTTATGAAAAGATGAGGCCTCTTCTAAAATGGGCACGTGTATTATACATGTGCATAAGCAGACATAAGCAGAATTTTCATATAAATTTGAGAAAGCCAATTTCCACCCTTCAAAGCAAACAGCTGTTCTGTGAGATTGTGCATGCCCTATCTCTGAAAATCTTTAAGCAAGCCTGGGTTCTGTCTGCCAGGAATACCAAACAAGGAATCCCAGCTCCCAGAGTCAATTTGATTCTGTCACTTATAAGCGCTCTTTCAACTCGGAATTCAAAGATTCTGTAAGTTATTGTTTTTTCCCCCCCATAAATTCATTTCAAAAATTGACCCAATGTTTCTACTGTGTTTCATGTGTTGGCAGGTCCTATAACAAACACAGGAGAGAAACTGAAGGATGAATGAGAAGATTTGTGGTGCTGAAATTTGGATGCATTTGCACCTGGGATCACTGATGCATTTGCACCTGGAAACCGAAGAATCTGGTAACCCAGTCCTTGATGGCAGCAGCCTTTCCCCGAGAAAACTGCAAAGTGCTTTAGCAAACTAAAACTCTACGTGCCTCATGAGTTCTCTATCCCCACTTCTCCCAGGCAGAGCCCGTGAAAATGAGGACTCAGATGTTTGTCAATAAGATGAAATGATTGCCCGCCATCATTTGACTTTGTGGGCAAAATCTCACCGAGTTTTCTACTGTGTAGACGCATTGCTTTGCCCCCACACCCCACCTTCCTCCAAAAAGATCAGATCTCTTGAGAGAATCAGTTTTCCTTGACCCCTTGTCTCATCTCAAAATTTAGTCTAAATCAGGATTTGAGCTTCTCTTTTTTTTTATTCAAATTTTAAGAAATTGCAAGTCATAACTTGCCCCGTCAGCCCCATTACCCATCCCGCCTCACACTATCCATACAATCAAACTTGTTACTCTTAAAAGTTTTCCTTGTAAGAGTCTGGCTGAGCAGGTCTCCCCTGGCAACACAAATTTTCAAATTATTTATGATGGGGAATGTTGAGATTAGTGGGGATCGGAGGTAGGGGAAGAGGGGATCACAGCCCAGCAAGAAATTCAACTGTTGTTCTTTCCTGGTCCCCTTCATAAAGAAGGCAGCCCTGCCATATCAAATATCCTGTTTCCTGAAAGCCTACCTCTGAGATTGGTATGTTCAGGAAATTACATCATTGCAGAATTCGTTCATACTGACCCTAAGTGCACCCGTGTTCCAGCATTTGCCCTCTAACCTCACCTCCTTAATCACATTTGCATGCTGTCTCCACTCTTTTTACTAATATTTAGAACCTTTCTACAGCGTATTCTATTTTGCAAGTCATTTATCAATGTTAATTCATCTCTTCTCACCTGTATTCCTTTGAGGTAGAGCCCTGTGATTAGTAATAATAACAAAAGCGTTGGTATTTGGCTTTTCTATAGCTTCTGTCTCCTGAGAACGCTACAAATATTAACAGCACACACAGGGGTCTCCTGGAATGGCTTGGGTCACGGAAGGAGTGGGGGAGAATGCTCTGACTAGCTGAAGTGGAATAAATTGAAGGTTGGGTTGGAACGGAATCAAGATGCCGGTGTTAATATGCCTGACTATTTAGGAAAAGTTCCAGGATCCCTTAATGATGACAAGCAATAAGGCTGTCAGAATTTGCCTGGAATATATATGGGATTAGGCCAGCTCCTAAAACTTTCCAAGGTGCCTCGAGGTCAAGGGCTTTCTGCAGAAGGTAAGCCTTTTTGATGATATAAAAATTCCACAGGCCCCAGAGGAAGAAAAATGTAAGATAGGTAGGGTGTGTGTGTGTGTGTGTGTGAGAGAGAGAGAGAGAGAGAGAGAGAGAGAGAGAGAGAGGGAGATTTCTTTCACTTATTTCCAGGAAGGTTCTCTATTGGGCTTATTTGAATCCTCAGTATTTGTTGTAGACTATCATTCTTATCTTGAAAAAAAAAAAAGACTCTACAACTAGGAAAAATCTGACTCTTAAATAATAAGAGAATTCCTAGTGGCCTGAAATAAAAACAGCTTTAATTTTTTATAAAATAGATGGAATATAGCAACTTACTAATAATGTAAGGTTATAACGCTTATGCTAGTGTAAAGGTATACTTAATAATAATGTAAGGTTAAGCTTTAACCACATTCTAGAAAGTTAGCTACGTTCTAATATGTATTCCACAGTGAATCAAGGCAGATATTCCAGCCCTCTTACTAACCCCGTTTACTGGAATTTTTAAGGCTCTTCTCTTGAGTTAAATCTTTCAAATTTAGAATTTAATCAAAAGTACTGAAACTATGGAAAAAGAAGAATTTAGATTCTTAATCCATAAGGATTAATGTCAGTTATTGGGAAGGCCTTCCTGATCCTGGACAATTGTTAAAATAAATGCTTATTCTTTCCTGGAAATGTAAACCTGAAAAATCCCACTCCACTTTTGGACTGCCAAGATAAAAATAGCTCCTGGATCATATACTTTGCTCCTCTGTCACAGCATCATTCTGCACTTGATATTACATGTATTCATGTGTATATCTAATCTAGAGTCTAGACTCTAGACCCATCGACCAACTTTTTTGAAGGACAAGGAACTTCTCATCCCTCTGAGTAGTTACACAGTATCATGTACACATAGTTGTACGTTAGATGTTTCTTGAATAAATGATGCAATAAGGCAGGCTTAAATAATAAGGCACCGCACCCTCCCACCCAAACAGAAGGTCCCATTGTCCCCGGAAACCTGCTGTTGGAACTCTGTCTGCCACCCAGAGCACAGGGTTATAATTTTCCCACTTTACATTAAACCCTTGGGACTATGCTCCTTTATTTTATTTATTTTCAATACTATCATTGTCACTCACACAAGAAGATGGGAGGAAAAAGAGTGGAGGGAGGAGGAGGCAGATAGAGGAAGGGGAGGAGGAGAAAAGGAAGAAAGGAGAGGGGAAAAAATCGGGAGGCGGGGAGGACAGAAAGGAACTGAGGAAAACACCATAATTCCATGTTCCTGAAATAAGAACAAAGACATGAAAAAGTAAAAAGATGGGAAGGGAGGAGGGAGGGAGTGAGGGAGGGAAAGAAGGAAGGAAGGAAGGAAGGAAGGAAGGAAGGAAAGAAAGAAGGAAAGAAGGGAATTTCTTTTAGTGATGTTAAAATCCACTTGAGGAACAGCTCTATAAAAACTGGTTGGTTCTCATTACTTGTGTAAGTTTGGCCTGATTAAATCCATCAGCGGCATCTAAAAGCATTGCTTTCTATTTCATTCCTAGGTTGGCTAATAGACATTTTAACCCAGTCTTTGCTTGCTTACTGGCACCCAACCCATCTGCTTTATTTCGTTCATTTATTCAACAAACACTTTTGGAGCAAGAATTTTCCAGATCTGTGATGGGCATTGGAAAAACAGTCATGAACCAACCCCATCTCTCACTGGAAAGGCTTACCTGACTCTCTCCACAGCCACCTGAAACCCAAATTAGTGCTGTCATGCATCCCCAAATTTTGTCAAGCATGCAGCTTTTTATCACATTCTCCTTTCTAGGCTCTTCTTGACAGCCTAGACAAAGCCATCCGCATCTTTTCTTTGCAGTCAAGCCTGTTCTAAAGGACTATCCCTGGTTAATTCATGCAGTTTTTTGTTTTGGTGCCAATGGCAGTGCCTACATGAAGCCAACTTACTTTCCTCTCTCCAGGCTCTTACATTTTCTGAGATTTCTGTCTCTCCAAGTAGCTTTCTGTGTTTTATTTTATTCATACTCTTCCCAGAATCACACCTCTCTGGCACATAATCCAGGTGGCCCGTATCTCATCTTGACCCAATAAAAACATATGAATATTTAAAGCCCAATTGTTATTATAGTTACTCGTATCACACAAATTCTTACATGTAAAGGAGTGGTGAGGAAGTTGAGTTTTGCCAAATGTAGAGCCTCTTACATTTTTAAATTCCAAAACTAGGCTACTAATGTCAACTGGTGATTGTTCTTTTGATTATGTGTCCCTAAAAATGCATGCGAAGACCCAGCTAACTTTTCTCATACACACCACACACCCTTGAGGTGTTTGTGGTGGCAAAAATGATTATTATTGTAATTTCCCTTCCCCAGTCTAGTCTACAAGATAAACACCTACTCGCTATCCAGCTGAAAGTTCCTATCTTCCATGAAGTTTTTCCTTGGCCATTGGAGTGACGACTCCATCTTTTGCGACTTCTTTATCCTGCCCTGACCTTGACCCCCATTCTAGAACCCATTTAGGGGTCACGTATCTGCCTGTTCTAAACTACAAGCTCCTCGGGGGCAGGGACCAAACCTGGTGTGACACCCTATTTCTAGTGCTTATTACAGTGCATGGAATACTGTCGGGGTTCTGTCAGTGTAGGATGAATGGAAGGGACAAGAGGAGGGAGAATCTTATACGTAATGCAACACTAACCAAAAATAGACAGCAGGAGGTAGAGACTGGAATTGCCGAAGTGAAATATTGTCTGGAAACAGGTGAGAAAAGTGTTTCATCCAGGTGACGAATGCCAACCTTTCTCAGCCAAAATGTTACCATATCTTTAAAAAGCTTTCCATTCTTGGATTTGTCTGTCGGTCTCTCAAAGACACACACACACACACACACACACACACACACACACACACACACACATACACACACACAATCTGATCAGTTTGCTATCCAGGTCTCTACCCGCTTCTCTATGGCCTGATCCAACCTCAGTGCCCCAAACTCCCCACACCTCACCCCATATCGCCACCTGGTGTCCAAAAGCAAGAAAAATACCCAAGAAATGAAAACGATTTTTTTTTTTAAGCTGATCAATATCAGGACTCTGGAACCATATACTGAGAGGGTTTTTTTTTTTTTAATCACATGCTTCTTGGCATAGAGTTTGAGTCACAAGCATAAAAGTTACATGTACAAACCGTCGTCAAAGCACAGTCTTATTTCCACCCACATCTTCACACACAAAAAATGGGTGCTCTCAATCTTTTCAGCTCCATGGACTGCCTTCCCCCCACAGAGGCCATGTTTCAAAACCTTGTCTACCAGATAAACTATATTTTGTCATTAAGTAAGCTCACAAATGTCAGCCTGTGGTAGCATTTAGCCTGTTATTGCCAGGAGTGGCAGCATTCATTCATGCCTTCAGTTAACGAGTTCCTCTTGTGTTCTAGGAGCTGTGCAAGGTGCTGGAGTCACCCTCAATTAATGTCAGTCCAGTCAAAATATCCTAAAGATTTCCTGTCCATAGAGAATAGACATGTATTTCCATCAGCTGTTTTGAAATAACAGAAAATTAATAAAGCTTCCCTTTTTACTGCCCCTACGAAGTTGGGGAAATGAGATTGGGTACCAGTAGATTAGGAAACAATACCCTGATAGAATCAGTACAACTTCAAATCAATAATTCCTGGGGGGGGGGGAGGAAGGACTCAAATGTCTACATTGAGCTTAGATTGTTGTTCCACTGCTTTTAATTGTGCAACTGGCTGTTAATGTGTACCG